GCAGGCGCTTTTGCCGCTGAGCTAAATCCCCAGCCCCTTTTTCTTAGAGATTAAAGAGAAGATATACATAGGTTATATGCAAATACCATGCCATTTTATGTAAATGACTTGAGCATCCATAGATTTTGACCCTGGATCAATCATTCTTAAATACCCAGAGACAACTATATATAGTTTGCTCATTCTTGACCAGAGATGGGAAAACATTTTCTGTAGTGAGTCATATATCAGATAGTTTTTGGCCAATGATTGTTCTCTTAAACTGAATTATGTTTCACTTTGTTTGAGAGTGGCTATTTAGTTTTTCTAATTTGGAGTTGCTACAAATAAAATTTTAAGAGATATTTGTATGTAGTTCTTTTTGTACTTACATTTTCATTTCTCTTGGGTAAATATGTGGGAGTATAATTTTTGGGTTGTAGGGTAAGGAAAGGTCTGAATTTATAGAAACAGCCAACTCTTTTTCCAGAATGACTGTATTACTTTATGGAGTGCCCAGTTGCCGTGTATCCTTACCAGTGTTGCCATTGTCAGTCTATTTTTAGTCATTTTGGTGAAGAGATAGCAGTATCTTGTTTTGATATAATTTGTGTTTTCTGATTTATGTACACTCAGTTTTACATGTTGAGTATAGTATTCTGTAAATACCAGTAGGTCTAGTTAGTTAAGGTATTCCTCAGATGTTCTCTGTCTTTACTGATTTTGTTTTGGGTTGCTTTACAATTTCTGAGAGAGAAGAGTTGAAATAATTTTTTTTCTCCTTTCCATTCTGCAGGTTTCAATTCTTGTATTTTGAAGTTCTGTTATTAGGTACACATGCATATATGATTGTGTTTTCCTGATGAATTAACATTTCTATTTAAAAAAGTATCACTTTCCATTTCTCATATTATTTCTCATCTTGATGTTTTCTTTAAAGTTAACATTGCCAGTAAAGTCTTAAGCATACTGCATGTATAATGTATATTTTTATATTTCAATATACCTGTTCTTTTTTTTTCCCCCCCGGTACCGGGAATCAAACTCACGATGTCGCGCTTGCCAGGCAGGCACTGTAATGTAATACACCATTTCAAATTAGATTTGAAATGGAACACCTTGTAGGTAGTGTATAGTTGAATTTTGCTTTTTTATTCATTTTGTTTAAATATTGATTTTTTTTCATGGTCTTGGGAACTGAACCTAAGACCTTATGTGTGCTACGCAACTGCTCTATCACTGAGCTACATCCCCAGCCCAATGATACACTTTGCCTTTTATTTGGGGTATTTAGACAATTGACAGTGGTAAAGTTGGATATAGAGCTATCATTTTTGTCAAGTCTGAGATTTGATTTTATACCACTTATAAGCTGAGTTAGCATATTATTGTTTAATAGATTCTGGCAGAAGACCGTAATCTGTGTCAGGCCAATTTTGTAATTTGTCCAAACTTATACAGTTAAGCCAGTGATGGATGTGAAACTTACATATTAACTGTCTCACTCTAGACCTCAGCTTTTTAATCAATATACTGTACCATCCAAAGTAATGGCATGCAGTTAGATAAATGTAATAAATTATCATAATACATTATATTTTAATTATTTTTAGTCTATTCCTTTAGACTATGAGCTCATTAATGTAGATTTTTTTTTTAATTTTGTAGTGCAGTGCTTATTATACTTTTAGCACATAATAGTTGCTGAAAAAATTTTTTCTAGTGGTTATTTTGTGACCATTATAAATATTAAATGAGAATTATGTAACCATGAGTCATATATTTATAAGATTAGAAAATCAGGATGTTATAATTTTTATCATATTTGTTTTGTCATTTATTAGTTCAAATGGCATTAGTTTGAAAGATATGTGGAATAATTTATATTTTATGAGAACTAATATTATTTTTGTGAGAGTAACGCCCTATACATTTATCACAGATGGTCCATAGAATAAACATACTACATAGTATGAAGTATGTATCTTTTTATTATTATCATTATTCTTTTTACTTCAACTTATATCAAAATCATATATACATATGATTTAAAGAGACAGATACGGTGAATGGCTTATAGGGGAAAGTAAAGATCACTCCATCCCCTTTCCTTATTACTGTTGCTTTAACTCTTACTGATCTTAGTCTTTATCTCCATATTTATAACCACATTACTGCTACAGTTTTTAAATTTTTCTTTAATTTTCAGTATCTGCTCATTTCTTTGTAAGAAAAATGCGGATTTTGCTATATTTTGCCTTCCACTTCCTTACTTTAGAATAACTTGACCCATCTGTTTTGTGGGGTGGAAGTAGGTATGTAGGAGCTCCAGCTGCTTCATAAACAGACAGTTGAACATTTATGTATTTCCAATTTCCAGAGGCATCTGGTACCACCTATTCCTCGCTTTTTAAGAGCTAAATAAATAGGGGCTGGGGGTTTAGCTCAGCGGCAAAAGTGCCTGCCTGGCAAGCGCAAGGTCGTGAGTTCGGTTCCTGGTACCGGAGAAAAACCAAAACCAAAAA